GACGAACTGTGATATTTGAACACTTCTCCCTTTGATTATGAACATCGCTCCAAAATACGGAGAGGAGACACTGACTAACAAGGATAAACTGAGAAAGTCATGATGCCAACCTGGCCCTCTGGGTCGTGTGTGACTGTGACTGTGACTTCTCTTCCCTTGCATATCATCCCGAAAAAATATACTTAGATTGAGATTAATTAGTTTATGAGTTGATGAGTTGACTGGCAATCTTTTCTTACTCACAAACTTCAGGAATCGTTTAAGATGTCCGAAATATATTGAAATATTGCATATTTTGTATCTCTAGCATTTGTGTATCTTGCATTAATATCAGTATCAGTTGGAGCTGCTGAGAATTGTCAAAAATTGCGATATCGTTGATACTTTGGGAATCAGCATATTTTAAAGTAAAATATATCTGATTTTCACTTAAGGCATTACATGGGAAGATGGTGTTTCAAACATGTTGAAATAATATATATCCAGTTATATGATAATCCGATAATATGAAAATCTAAGATACCGCACACAATGTTCTATAAAATGACTTTTTAATTTTTGTCAGCACCTATGGAAAACATCATACCATGGTATCACATGTTTAATAACATATAACATATTCAATGTACAGTGTTCAGAGATTCATTCTAAAGCAATATTTCGTTGTAAATAAAATCTATCGCGATCGCTATCTGTTATTTCTGCAGGTGAGAAAACGTGTTTCCTACTTGATCGGACACACCTCAGTGCCAGGTATGGGCTTATCAGCTTAATGTGGGAGGAAGGTGATGCAGCTGTCAGACGTTTGCAACTTGAGTGAAACCAGAGAGCACGAGTATGGTGCTGACAAAACTAGAAACACAACCATAGTTTTCTGGGTGCCCGCTAAAAAGAGTATTATCGGCTATCAGACCTTGAAACATGAGAACATTAATGTAACGTGTAAGAGTAAATGGAAAACGTCAACAGCTGGGAATACCAAAAGAGACAATCAAGTGATGTCGGTAAATATATTGAAGATGGATACCATGTGATATTTATTTGTGAACAGTGTATTATCAAAGAAAGTATTTTTTGCCTTATTACACCTTTTTTTTGTAAATAAACTCGTTATGTACTTAACTCCACAATTTTGATAATATCGACGGATATGGGATTCGGCGCCAAGAGCAGATGTTTCTATCAAGACATATGAAGTGACTCCACCCAGAAAATAACGGCGCATCAGAGGGAGTGAGTACGGTTTTACGCCGCTTTTAGCAACATTCCAGCAATATCACGGCGGGGGACACAAGAAATGGGCATCACACATTGTACCCATGTCGGGAATCGTCATCGGCGTGAAGAGCGAACGCATTAACCACTAGGCTACCCGACCGCCCCGGCACATCAGAACACACTTTGCTTTTGTTGACAAGCATTCAGTCATGAGAATGTTCAGCTCAACGCCACTGTGAATAAAATGTCAGTTATACAACAACATATTAGTTTATTGAGGGAGGGGAGCCTAACGAGATGCAGGTCTTACACGTGTATGACTTTGGCGAACCCCACATACATTTGAACGGGGCTTCAACAGAATCTTAAAACGCTGTGATCGTGGCGCACCTTACTTAATGACTGTAAATGACTACATCTAAATAAAATAGTGCTACATTTGTTCTACGTCATAGTCATCTACAAGTGTACCTATCTCCTTGCGCTTATTTATATACATTGTCCTGTTTAAGTACTCAAATCGGTGTGCGTAGAGATCAAGACCATCAAACAATTAGGAGTCAGACCGACCGGATCAGGACCTAAATGATCACTTATCATTATTGCATATCACAAAGCAGTAAAGTTAAAATGCAGGTGTTTATCTGGACGTTGACCTTCCCGTGAATGATCCTTTTTCATACATAAGTAGATCCTGTTATTTCCACGTACAACGCAATAGGTGTAATATGGCAAGATTTACTTTCAGAATAGTGACGTGTGGTGCAGTACGCAACTTCGCAAGGCTTGCTTGGTTTTCATTAAGGATGACAAAACATGACATGTAAAAACTACCTTGAGTAATTATGTAAACGTGGTGATAGGTTCACAAGTTTTATTACTATCAGCTAATTGTATCAATGGACGGCCATATAAAGGATCAAAAGCCCCAATTTACACTGTCAATGATCACTGATTAATTAAACTAGAACAAATATACAAGCTGATTAGCTAAGCAACTGCATAACAGTAAGAAAGGGAGAGGTTAAAAAGGAAAGATATTGACAAGAGGCATAGACAGCCTATTAAGTCGACTGCGACCAATTGACACCTGAAAGTTATTAAACTCAACACTCTATTTAGAGGGAATAAACACGGTGGGGTTAAATAGCGGAAATTACACACAGAAAGCCTTTCCCTAAAATTTAAGCCGCTTGGACAAAACAAATAGACAATAAACGCCTGAATAGCAATCTAGTCTCATAGACTACGGATTCAGTGATACTGACCGGGCAAGGAAATTTTATACTTCACAAAAATACAAGATACTTGACCCAAGGAGTATCTAGAGTCCCATTAATGAATAGGTTCTTGACCTAAACTAGACAATCACGGGAAATTGTTTATCCACGGATTACTTGGAAAACGGGTTACGAAATATAAGAGCCCAGCCAATACGTTTTAGCTCAATACCACCAAAGTAAGGCAGTACAAGAGAGAAAACTGTCCCATGACCATGTACTAATGAAACCTTAGTTGCGATCAGACCAAGCCAGTAGCGCTTGCAAGACCAAACGTAAACGATCTAGCAATACTTGGAGGTAAAGACACATGATTTTGGCAAGGGTTTTATACACAACAGTTTCACCAAGGTTGTTCAATTATATAAACGTGTTGCAGAACGTAGACTTGGCAGCTCATGGTGTAAATTTCACTTTTTGTGGTTGTCAAGACTCATCATACTGCTATCAACCTACAGGGCATATAATAACAGGTGACTTCTCTATTGTTCACAATAACAACCTTCGTCAGTTATTCAAATATGGACCAAAATACCGTGAGCAACCTCCTACCAATTGGGATCACAACTTTAAAATCATTATTGGTGCTGTCGAAGAATATACCAAAATGGACTAAAAGAGAAAAGGAACCTGTTGAATGTCTCTAGAGTGGGTTACGTCAGTGCGTGATGTTGTCATTGGTAGAATGCACACACTTAAAAAGATGAAACGGAATTGGGATAAACTCATTCTGCCCCAGCCAGCTGTTATCCAAAGTCTGGCTGATCTACATGAAAAGTTTGTAGTTGTTCCCAAATAACATAACTATTATATGTAAGCATCACTACATTAATTGTTTGATCAAAGAACTTGGTATAAATAACATATCAAATAAAGCCACATATAAGGCCAGTAAGTTAACTGAAGAAGAAATCTGTCAAAACCGTAAATCAGTACTGTCAACTTTCGACTTAACATTACTCTAAAACTTCCATTCCTCTTTTGTACTGGATGCCAAAGCAAAGCTCCATAAAAATCCGTACAAAGAGAGAGATATTGCTGGGTCCACCAAATGTACCACCAAATCCCTTTCTCAAACACTAACCATAATCCTCAGTACAATCAAGGAAGGACATCATTTGCTGATGTAAATGTTTTACTGAGGTAGTACTTTACAGACCTTTCCCATCTAATGGTGATATTATTTAAACACATGTGTTGCACAAGATCTCTCTGAAGAGCAAGTTGTGCATCCATACGCTCATGTTACCTCTCTTTCTGAGGAACTATTTTATTCCGCGGTATAGCTGTTTCGTATGGATGTCAGTGTAAACATGAAGTCACAGTACTAAAAAAAAGTGTGTTTAGGCCTACATGGCGATGGAGCATGCACTGTCTATCAAAATTTCAAAGAGCGTTATACGACTCTTACTCAGAAATTGTTTGATCAAGGTTACAACATGCAAGGCCTCATTAAAGCTTTCAAAAAGTGTTAGGGTAGACATGTTGAAGACATTTCCAAATTTGACGCATCAGTGGTAAAAATGATGTCATATTTTGACATGTACCATATGTTCCCTTGGTTTTTATTCAGATGAACAATTGACTTGCCATTGCATGTGTTCATTACGGGTGTCACCGGTGGGGCAGGATACGCACACCTTTTCGCGAACACCTGATGATTCTTAAACACATGCTCATGCTTAATGCAGAGTTTTCTATTGCACATGGAAGGGTTTTGTCGCATCATATACATGTCAGCACTAGAACTTCAATAGCCTGATGAGGTAACCAAAGTATGTTACCTAACACAGGGCAAACCTGAATAGCCAAACAACCACTAAAGCAATACTGAAGATTTTTCCACCCAAACAGAGTGCTGAACATACGTTATCCACGCGTATCGCTAAAGATTTACAACCAGATGTGTACATATATTTGCTGGTGAAGAGAACCATTAAAAACATGAGAACAATACGTACCAGAAAATCGCGCTACTGCGTGAAAATTAAAGTTCAACAAACATTTTCTACACATGAATAAGGAAGCAAACATATATGAGATAACATATATCAAATCAATACATGATAAAAGTATGCAATTATACAGCTAGAAAATAAAATTTACGTGTCACTATTCTCCAGCAACGAACGAAAACGCACTGGACAACGACGATTGCAGTATTTTGCCGAATGGTGCCGGTCACTAGACTGTGACTAGACTGGTTTGCGACCCGGTAAGAAAACAGGTTTAAGCATATACACCTAAGTATTCAGCCGATGAAGGGAAAGAAGTGACACTGAAACGTCGTAACAATCAAATAGAAGTTGTTTCTATTAACAGGCACACGTCATCAACCTGTTTGTGAAAGCATTTTTTAAACTTTTTAAGTATTTCAAAGGACTTTTCCCCATAAACAAAGCCATCCAATGACAGGTATGCGTTTACTGAAAACGTCAGAATACTTAAGAATGTTAAGTATAAGTGGAACTACTTACAAGATAGATGTTACTGCACCACATGTAATTCTCGTGCATTCAGTCATGAAGGTTCTCATATGCCTGTCATGTTGGGTGGCGTCCGTCTTGACCCAATGTAAGTTTCATTACTACTTATCATTGTTTTTGTTAAGCCTGACCGTGCACATTTTAAGTAATTTGTACTTGTCAGTGAATCGCTATATATGCATATAATAAATATTCACTGTCACCGTATGTTGACGACAAATTAATAATATGTGCTTGATCGGGTGGTCAGACTCGCTGACTTGGTTGATGCATGTCATCGGTCCCAAATGCGTCGATCGATGCGCATGATGTCAATCACTGGATTGCCTGGTCCAGACTCTGTAGTCCAGAGTTGTAGTCAAAACCATGTCTCTGAGAGGTGATGACTTGAAATAAGATAGCTTATGTTTTTTTGCTTAAATATATATCTGTACATTGTACACGTTGATTGTCCTAAACATTCGTTGTTCAGCAGACACTCTTTGTGTGCTGTCTGGTTACAGTGTCTAACTTGACAGAAAGGCGGGAAATAGTCCATTTCTCACTTTCCTCTGGGGCACGGGTGGCCCAGTCGTCTAAGGCGCCGCGATTCGCTGTGCAGAGTTGCGTCCCTTGGGCACGCCTAAAACCTATGATTGTCGGTTCGAATCCCGGTTCGCCCCGATTAGGATTCTAGGTCTGTCCATACCATACCCGTGCTTGTGAGTTTCACCGAAGTGGTAAACGCCCGAGACCTGCATCACGTCGGGCTTTCCTCCCACATTAAGCTGACACGCCGTGATATAACTGTAATACTGTTAAAAGCTCACTCACTCACTTTCCTCTTTTGACGTTAATTTATACAACTATTGCCAAAATTTCGCTACAGATTCGAATTCTTCTGCTTTTTCTTTCGTGACCCTTCATCTCCTCCCCCTTTCTCTCGTCCCCTCTCTCGTCTTCCGTTCTGTGTCGGATCTTCTTTCATTCTCTCTCGTTCTCTATTCTTCGGGTTATATCTCCAAACGCCCTTGTGTACACCCGTGAAGATTCCGGGGTAGAATAGGTCTTCAGCAACCCATGCTTGCCGAAAAAGGCGACCATGCTTGTCATAAAAGGCGACTAACGGGATCGGGTGGTCAGGCTCGCTGACTTGGTTTATGCATGTCATCAAACCAAATTGCGTGGATTGATGGTCATGGTATTAATCAATGGATTGTCTGGTCCAGACTCGATTATTTACAGACCGCCGTCATATAGCTGGAATATTGCTGAGTGCGGCGTTAAACCACAAACCAACCAGCCAACCAAATCATACGTGTACAACTATTGCCTAAACGTTGTTTGACCAGGGTTACAACATTCAAGGCATTTTAGTTGTATCCTAAGTGTGGAGGACATCTCCAAATTGATGGATACGTAACAAAAATGATGTCGGATGAAATTAATATTTTGACTTGTGTCACAGGTTCCCGAATTGTTTTTCCATGTGTACAATTGTCTTCTGCTTGCTTGATTATCATTATGGTCTCTGCTTTTAAAGATATATATCTTATCACTGTGTAAGGGGTTTATTTTAATTGCTTTGGAATGAAGCTTCCGATGGGTTTAGGTTTTGAGATATATATATATATGTCTTATGGCATGCTCGTGGCAGTTCACGGCTATACCCACGTTCGGTGCTTCAATATGTACACAAAAAACACTCTAAGCTTCCTTGAGAGTAAACGGCCCAAGCTGCATGGAAGGCGCTAGAAAGTTTACATTGTCATAACCAGCACATCCTACTGGGTACCCATCCGTTGGATAGAAGGCAGATGCCATTTGAGAAAGTAGTTTGCATTGACACGTGTTTCAATGCAGCCAAGCTTGAAAAAGGCGATTACCAATTCATCTCATCTCAACCACCCGCGCTGCATAACCTCCACTTTGTAATTTGACGCCGTGCAGGCCTAAAATTGATGTGATTGTCACACCGTTTGAAGTGATGCCATGACACGTTTGATCAATGTAAGCATCATTTGTTGTCATAGTAGATAACACACCAACTTTAAGGGCCGATGCTGTGTACTGAGTATACTGTAAACAGGATTACATACATGCACGAAATGAAACAGACCATAACGTGAAACAAGTGCAATCCTTTGATGAATTCTTTCATTATTTAGCGCTGATCCTTCAGTCAGCAATTGACATGATGTGAGCCAGTGCAGCATTTTATGTTAGCTTACGAATGTGTCATGTATTCGAGCCGCGTTAGCTGCAACGTCAGTTCGTATTCTAAACTCTGAAATTAAATACAGTAATGGCTATAAATTAATATATTCTTTGAATGGTTTCATAAAATTTAATAGAAGTTGCCCAGATAGTATCAGTCTCAGAGTATCAATGTAACATTTGTTATGTCAATATTCATTTTTTAGATGACAAATTAACAGAATAGTTTCTGTTAAAATATGACATAAAGGAGCCCAGACCAACTCGGTTTCTGAACGGAAGAAATCTGTTATTGACAAACTAAACAGCCGGGGAAAAGAAGGTTTTCACTTTAAAAATAGTTGTATGAAAAGCAAAAAAGCTGGTACAGGTTTGAACCCCCGCAGAAAACATTCGCCCAAATGCAACATGACCACAACCACAACGCGGATTTTCGCACGCAGCTTTCCAAATCATTCATTGTTGAAAACGTGCAAAACGTGATTTTGAGACATTGGTCCAAATGCATGTGCGTGATTGTGGCATAAATATGGACAGAGCAGGCATTCAGTAAGCAAAAAACCACCAAGAATATGCCCAGACTTGCACAAGCTCAAAGAGACAGAGCGATCGGTATGGCCAATATGGGGGCTACTCAACGTCAGATAGCCAGAACCTTCAACTGATCCCAGACCACCATCAGTCCGCTTCGAACAGACAGGACAGACTCAAGACCGGCCAAGATCGAGAAGACAGAGAGTGACAACACCGACCGAAGACCGCTACATCCGGCAGCTTCACCTCCGAAACAGATGTGTGACGGCGACGTCAACGGCGTGCCATTAGCAGACGAACAGTTTATGATAGACTGGCATTGGTTTATATGGATAATTTTGTTTAAGTGCTGAGTTCAGACCAGTCAGGTCTTGTCACCGGGTGAAACCTTACGTTGAAAATATATTAAATAGACGAACATACGTCAGTGTTACTGGGGTATGTTGCTGTTAATGATGTAGCAATGATACTGATAAATATAAGTGGATTAATGGAACTTTAAGCAATTGACTTTATATACTCCTTTTAAGCTGACTTTCAAAGATAAAGCTATCACTCATATCAAACATGTTTATCTTACATTCACTTTTTAACTGCTCCTTATAATTGCATGTTCCTTGCAGGTGTTGATAATTACATAAATGTAATTTGATTGAAGCTAAATGTTGTCTGTATCTTCGCTACTACTATCACCACCAATGCAATATTCTTCATCTGAAACGTGGCAAGGTGGAAGAGGGAGGATTTGTCAGTTTACTTGTGGGGGGAGTTAAAAAAATACAAATACTTATGCTGTGCCCGTCCTTTCGTATTCTTTTGGTGTTGTTGATTGGAAGAAACAAGAAATAAAGGGTATTGTCACCCTCACACGAAGAATCATGTCAGAAACTAGATCACCACCATCGCTCTTCCCTCAATCGCATATATTTCCCAATTTTAATGGGAGGGCACGGTTTGATAAACGTTGAGGCTTCTCGGGATAGAATTGTATTGTGCACTTTTGTACACATTTTTTTGTCTGATAATCCTCTTGCGAAGCATGTCAAGACAATGATGACAACTAGACATTCAACAAGTTTTCTTAAACAAGGATGTGGGACATAAGCTCAATGTCAATGTTGATTGTGTTGATGGTTCTGTACTGCTGGACGGTACAGAAATGATTGTTAACCAAGCAAAGTGCCATATCAAATAAGCTAAGACTCAGTTTTACAGGAAGAGGTTATCTGAACGACCATTGCATCGAATTTATGTGCACTGTGTTGAGAAGATAAGTAACTCTGCATAGTCCTTCGCTTGGATGAAGTCTTTCTGTTTGCTGCTCAGGATCTGTCACTTTCCCCTCGAAACCGTCAATGTATGATCAAAATGTAAATATGAAATGTAGATAATGTAAGGGATTTAATGAGACTGTCCAACAGTGTCAGTGGATGCCCAGCTTTGGCACAAACGCAGTATCTTAAACGAAATGATGGTGTAGCCCCAACACAAGCTCGCCTATAGTGTCACCATAATCTCTTTCAAAGCATCCAGTAAATATGTCAACAAGATTAGTGCCAGTCCAACAGGATTAAGTATTCCCCTCTGTCTAGCCATTCATTTAGCATAGGGCACAATCAATCGTGTATCATGGAAAAAATATCCTATTTTTGGATACTATCATTAGATGCATTATACATATATGTGCATGTGCATATAACAAGTGCAGTGACTAATTACACTAATAAGGTATACAATTAGTAAAGTGTTAGAACTTATGTATATCCTTTTAAGAATTATTTGTTAGTTTTCGTAACTTTTTGGTTTGCCTTTTCTTTGTTTTTGTTCATCTCAGTTGTTAGGTTTGCTTTATTTCAATTTGGTTTGTTTCGCTTCGCTTCGATTCGATTTTCGTTCGTTTCAATTCGGTTCAATGCGATACGGTTCGGTTTCATTCGGTTCGCTATATAGTTTGATTTGCTTCGGCACGGTTTTGGTTCAATTCGCAGTATGGTTTGCTTTGGTTGGGTTCATTTCGGGTCATTTCGATTCACGATACGGTTTGATTCATTTTGATATGGTTTGCTTTGGTTTGGTTCGTTTCACTTCGCTTTTGAGATTGGCTGATCAGGTCAACGCTCAAAATTTGTTGTGATACAAATAACTCAGATGATCAGGCTGATGCCATTTGTTCCCGACCGCCGTCATATAGCTGGAATATTGCTGAGTACGGCGTTAAACAACAAACAAACATTTGTTCCCAACTGGAGAAACAGGTGACCCAAAGTGAAACGACTTGACAACAAATAAACCTTACAAGATACAGCTAATAGCTGTTTTGTGTTTTTCACCGTTTATTCAGGAGATTTTGTATTTTGG